CTGCCTGCTGTCTTCCCTGGAGATCCCCGTCATCTGGAGCTGAGCGTTGCTAGCTCTTTCTGTGGCTGCAAGTGGAAACTCAGAGGTGCTGGTGTCTTTGCAGCGGAGTTTCAGGAGAGTCTGCAGCCCAGACCTCTTCCTGAATAAGAACCCAGCTCCCGTCTCTGTTCCTTGGACTGTAGGATAAGGCAATGGGAGGAGTCCCATTGCACAGTTGCTCCTGGAAGTCAAAGTGGTTTGGGGTTCCCACCTGTAGGTCGGGCAGCAGGACCACTCAAGCCTTTCTGAGAAGGCAGACAAAGCCACACATAGGACAAAGCCCACGCGACCAACGGCAGCCTACCGCCCAGGTGGAAGCAGAAGCCACATCTCTGCTTCTAGTCCCTCAGTTTGGATTCCTGTTAGGTTGTTTTCTTAGGAAACTGATGGAGCCTTCTTGTTTCTTACGATTTTAATTTGGTTTACCGTATGACCCTCTCCCTGGCAGAGGGGACAGCTAAGAAGGCTTTGAGGGTGGGTGGGGAGGGGACCCAGCTCCTACCCTGAAGCCAGTCCTGCAGCCACTGCTATTTCTGCTCTGCCCTCAGGTGGTGCTCAGAGCCGAAGCTTTGAGTGTTTGGTGATGGGATCTGCAGCCCAGTGGATGAAGGTGGGAGAAACACACAGGCAGCCCAAGTCCCACGCAGCTACCCATGCAGGGCACTTGGGCCCTGTGTCTGAGGTTCATTCAGGTGACAGACTGATGATTCTGACTCCTGGTCCCCTTCTCAGACTGTCCTGGGGACCCTTTTCTTCTCACTCCTGCACCTGCTAGTCATTCTTTCTGGCCCCTTCAAGCCTCCGTATTTTTCCCCTTGTGAAATGGGAACAGACTTCTGGGGAGCTATGGGGGTGACTGTGAAGTCAGATTTAGGAAAGATGAATGTTCAACATCCAATAAGGGGGTTCCAGATGATGCTGAGAGTCCCAGCTAGAATTCTGAGCACAGGATTTCCTTTCCTCCCTCTCCTGCTTTCAAAACAGCTCTATTGGGTATAATTTACATACCATAGTATCACCATTTTAAACATCCGATTCATCGACTTTTAGAAAACTTAGCTTCAACTCTTGAGATGCCTTGGTGCATGCTTTATTTGAGAGTTAAAAAGAAAGGGCTGATTCAATGTCCAGAAACGTACATTTTCAGCTCTCTCAGTAAACTGCCTGCTGACTTCCTGCTGCTGAGAAGTCTCCATTATTCCCACTAAAGAGCTTGATGTCTGGCTTCTCTGAAGAAGACTATGCTATTTGCAGTTCTTCTTAGCACTGCTAATGAGGTCGGGGTTCACACCACTACACAGGGAGGGGTGACACCTGGAAGAGCCAGGCAGCACCATCCAGGTGGCACCATCCAGGCCCCGCCTGGGGCTTCCATCTGCTGTGCCCACTTCTTTCCATGCCATGGCCAGGGACACTGTCTCCCTCCCTCGTCTTCCAACCCCAGCTTCGAGGTCCAAATCCCAGCTTTGATGACTGATCCCAGCCAAAGGGAGGGACTGAGAGGTGTGGAAAGCAGGCAGCCTGGGAGGCCAGAAGCTCCGCAGACTCTATCCTCCAGTGCTGGGCAAATCTGCCCCAACCTTTGCTTCTGTAAAATGGGGCCTGTGTTTGAGCTTCACCTGGGGGGCATCGGGGGACTTTAGCACAATATAGTGGTACTTTTCTTATTGGGCTTCCAAGGGAAAATTCCCAGAATTCATTAAACACCCTTTGAGGTGTTCAGAGCTCTATCAAGAGTGAGCTACTGTGATAATTAGCCCTCTTCTTGGCTCTGGAGTTGCATCAGAGCAGGAACTGCAGGGCCTTTGCCAGTGGTGCTCATGATTAGGCTCTTTCTTCCTGGAGACCTCAGAGCTGCTAAAATGAAGAAGTAGAATCATACAGGGAAGAGCTTGGAAGGAATCAGAGGGAAGGAACCCCGACAGCTCCCTCTGCACAAGGACTTTACTCTTGGTACATAGGTGATCTGGGAGAGCAGTCACCAGTTCCTGCAGAGGGCAAGAAAAGAAGATCCCTTAAGGCATCTCCTCCCAAGAAAGAACAGTGTACAGGCAGGAAAGCAGCCCCTGCCAGTCATGCCAACAGTGGATTTTACGAAGGGCTCAGTCCACCAGGCAGAGATGCTCCAGGGTCAGCTCTGCCCTGGACTGTCCGTGTAACCTTCATCGAGCACTTGAATCTCTATAAACCTCGGCTTGCCCATTGGTTGAACAGAAAGCATAATATTCATCCCTAAGCATGTGGCAAAGGGCAGGTGTGACCACAGATGCTGTCAAAGGGCTTAGCAAGCCCTCAGTGAGTATAGTAGTGTTTCATAGCTGCTATAACCAACGACTACAAACTCAGCGGCCTAAGAGAACACTAATGTATTATCTTACAGTTCTGCAAATAAGCAGGTGACTGGAGTCTCAATGGGCTAAAACAAAGGTGTCACAGTCTCTTTCTGGTCTTTTTCAGCTTCTAAAGGTTGCTGAGTTCTGGCTCAAGGCCCTTCCTCATCTTCATGACTACAGTGGGTGGAGTCCCTCCCTACCACAGCTCTCTGACCCCCTCTACCTCCCTCTTGCCCTCAGGCCCTGGCCTCTATAGTCACTGGTTAGGCTCACATGGTTAACCCGGGCCACTCCCCCAATTTTAAGGCCAGCTGATTGACAACCTTGGCTGCAGAGGCAGCCTGAATTTCCCTTTTCCATGTAAGGAAGCACATAGGTTCCAGGATGAGGCCATGCCCATCTTTGGGCAGACATTATTCTGCTGCCACAGTCAGAGATCAATCATTGCAAGTTTTCAGACTATAAAGGAGATTCTAATACTTTACCCTCGGGGTTGTAGTGAGGCAAAGTAACAATAGCTGACATTTGTTGAGAGTCTGCCCTGTGCTAGCATAGCCGCTCTCTCAACCCCACACTCCACAGAGACCACACAGGAACATGCCCAGCACAATCAGGCAGGGCTGCTGTCCACATTCTTCAAACAGCAGATGCACCCCAGGCAGCAGGCAGCCAGGAGCTGTGGAGGGGCCTCACCCCCTCCACCCCTCACTGACCTTGAAGCCACCTTGGCCCTGCATCCCTGAGCACTAGTTAAGAAACGAAAGAGAGACTTAGTGCCAGGAAAGAACTGTGGCAACCACTGTCCGGCCTCTGTTTCCTCCCCACAGCAGAAGCATTCCAGCTTCCAAGGGCTCCAGACCTGGGCTCCGCCTCCCACTGCTGTGCTCCGGCATAGGGCCACCCAGGTCTAGTTTTCAAAACTCCCCACAGCTAATGTTCTGCAGCTGAGGTTCTGTTTGCTGTTGCTGTTTTTGTTGCTGTTGGGGGAGGGGTGGGATGTTCCCGACCCTGAAAATCCAATGAAAACTCTGGTCCACAACTGGGAAAAATGCACATTGGCAGGTGCATTCAGTACCAAGGAAGCCATGCCAGACAGTCCAGTGTGAGGCAAGGGCTGGCACACATTTTTCTCTCCAAGACCAGTTGTAAGTATTTAGGTTTGCAGGTCAGATGCTCTCTATCACAACTACTCAAAGCAGCCATAGATAATGTGTCCATGAATGAGTGTGGCTGTGTCCCAAGAAAGCCACAACTATAAAGCAGGCAGCAGGTCAGATTGGGCCCCTGTAGTAATCGCACAGACTTGGATTTCACTGCGTCCTTTACTAGAGGGACGAGGCTTCAAAGCTCAGGATTTATTTCCTCACTTGTAACAACACCTACCAGGTAGAGTTAGTGAGGAATATAGGAAGGAATGTGGGTAAAGCACCCTGAACAGTGCCTGACCCATGTAACTCCATGATATCATGAACTAGGATCTACCTACTAGCTGGTCGGTCTGTCTATCTATCTACCTATCTATCTATCTATCTATCTATCTATCTATCTATCTATCTATCTATATTTATTTTTGGTACAGTGTCTCCCTAAGTTCCTGAAGCTATCTTTGAACCTGTGATCCTCCTGCCTCAGCCTCCTGAGCCTCTAGGATTACAGGCATGTGCACCAACTTGCCTAATTTGCCTACTGGCTTTAATATTCATCTGCCCCATCCCAGGGAGGACACATTCCAACTCTCCTGGCATCAGCTTCATGCCACACAACCTTAGTCCATCTGGCTGGCCAAGAGCGGGACCTGGGTCAGCCCCACTTGGGAAGGATAAAAGGCAGTCATGGTAATGTAAGTCCAAATCACTAAGAAGAGCAGCCAGGACAGGAGTGGAATTGGGCCCTGTGCTCTTGGAGGGGCCTGCAAGGATTTGGGAGGGGCGCAGCCCCAGTCAGGGTGCTAAGATTCAGGAAGAGTGGCAAGTCCCAGCAAGGAACTAGAGAACAAGTCACAGGCCGTGGGCAGGGTGGCACAGGAGAAGTGCAGTCACTTGAGTCTGGACGAACATGGCAGGTGAGGAAGAGGAAGATATCTGGCTCTTCGAGCTCACTCTGAATATTCCACAATGGCTCCTCTCAGGGACACATCCACACCGAGTCACACTATGGTGCCCTTCCGAGCCTGCACAGGGTGATTCTGGGCCCAGGAGTGGCCGGCTCACCACTGAGGTGGCTGGTGCAGCCAGAACTCATCGTGTACACACATCACAGAAAAATGGAAATGACTTGATTAGAAATTATGCAGAATGAAAGCTGCCATTAAAGGGTCCAAGTTTTACACTTCAAGCCAACCATATAAAGTACATGTGAAAAACTCATTTTAGGGAGTGACAAATGTACATATCTTAGGAACCAGGATTTATATGCACCATTACTTGCTACTTTAAAGCAACCCTTTAAACCTTGAATTCTGCCTAGGAGATATAATGAACTCGGAAGCACACACTATCATTTCCCCTCCCCTGAGAGCTGGCAGCCTGTGGCTGAGCACCCAGACTTCTAAATATACACCTCACTGTTCCCACATAAAACACAATGTTGCCCCATGCCAATTTCCTGGAAGGAACTCGCTGTACTGACCCTGTCGATGATGTTCGAGTGCCTCGCTTCTCCTGTTGCAACAGCAGCGGGCCACGCCTGGGGAAAGAAATGTGGCCCTTAGCAGTCGGGCAGCCTGCCGTCCAGACCAGTGTCAGACCCTCCAGCAGCTCTTATTCCCTGCAAAGGTCTGCAAGGTGCCACAGAGTCCTCCTTGCTTTGAGAATCCTACAGCCTGCATTAAGCTGCAAAAATCCTGTGCACCTTTCCTCTGTAATAGAACTCTGCCCTTCACTCTTCTGTCTCAGAAGCCTCTCCTGGGAAGCCTGCCTGTTTCCAGCATCTTCCTTCTGGTCTGAAAGGGCAGCAACTTGCCGTAGGGCATGGTTCCCAAGCCTTGGCAGGCATCAGACGGCTGCCCTCGTGCCTTGTTCCCTCCAGCACCCACGAGGGCTCCTATGAAGTCGCTCCTACTTGTGCTCAAAGGGTACGCCCGTATGTGCAGTTCTTCTGAGGCAGCCACACCCCAGCCTGGGCCCTGGGAAAACCAACAAACTTTCTCCTTCAGAGACCTCATACTAGTCCCAGGGCCTGTGTCTATGGAAGGCTTCTGCAACCTGTGTGCCAGGCTGGTAGGGAGGCAGGTGGTGTTCTACAATGGGAGGTATTTCCTCACCCCCACAAGACCCTGGGGGTATTAACCCAGGCCCCCAGAGGAGAACAGATGGTCCATTCCATCCAGTTCTCACTGGCCATATCCTCACATATGGTGTGCGCATGTGTGCGCATGTGCACGCGCGCGCGCATGCACACACACACACACACACACACACACACACACACACATCTCACAGAAGCCTACAGCAGCCTACAAAGACTTGTCCTGAGAACATATTCTTCAAGTCCCAGGGGGCTGCTCACTGCATGCAGCAAGATCATTAAAAATATGCCATTTCAAAGACCAGAGACGAACACTTGTAAAAACAAACTTGCAGGAAGAAATATTATGGAGCTCCACTCTGGTTAAATAAACCATATCTGAATCTTTAAGTGCAATTTACAGCAGAGAAGGACAAATATGAGTCAGGGCCCGGTGAGCCTGGGGTCTGCCAACATGCCCCTGGGTCATGTGTGCCATCTTGGCTGGGGCGGTCCCCAGGCCAAGCACCATCACTCCCAGCAGCTGTCGATCACGGGGCAGCTTTTCATTACAGCCTCAGTCATAAATCTCCCAGCCCCGGTGGCCATGGCTGTACTGCAGCACAGAGAAGTGGATTTGTCCTTCGAAAAAGTTAACAAACAGGCTCTCCCAACCCCGGGCCCCAGCAGGATCAGGAAAGGCTTTGAATCCACGTCAAAGAAAGCATCAAAGGAAATAGGCCATTTTCAAACAAAATTCATTTCTCAAGCATGACGGTGGAAATATTTATCACATGAAAGATGCGAGACCTCTGTGATGTCTCCATGCTCTGTTAGGGATGCAGCGTGTGTCCAACCCAACGTGTGCAACCCCGTCATGCCTGTGATGTTTGAAAGGGGGAAAATTAGTCCTTCCCATCTGGCAGACTCTTAATTTACCAACCCGGTCGTACTTGTGTAGCATGGGCACCTGAGGCAGAGGAAAGAGGCAGGCACGGCCACTGGCAGACAAAATAAGCTAAGGTTTTGGACAAAGAAACTCTGCATGTCCAGGATGCAGTGAATAGGGCCCCGTGCTTATCTATCTCTGTCAGCCAGGGGCTTTGAAAAGCATCCACACTGATACCTCATGCACAAGGTCGGACCAGCCTACCTCAATGGCTCTCGGGATTATCCAGCGTCTGGATTTCCGGCCATAATCACGAGTACTTGCTCTACAAATGTATTTTCAAAGTGCACATAGAAAGCCTGGAAAGAAATCACAAGAGGGCAAGCCAGCCTTCTAGCGAGGCCTGAGGTCTTTGAGGCTCAGCTCTGAGGATGAGGGCTCTGCTCAGAGACCCTACAGACCAGAAGCTCTTCCTCTACATTGTGTCATGGGGTTGGTGGACGGGAGGGGGCTCCGATGTACAGCCTTTCACAGTCCATTAACATCTTCTCTTCAGGATGGAGACACAGACCCGGTCTCTTGTCCTTTCCTCTGTATGGGTGATTCAGATAGTAACTCACTGGTGATCCCAGCATGTGGAAGAAGACACATTGACTTGCTCTATCTTTCCTGGGTTCCCTCAGATAGGCAAAAATTAAACTCCATGAATTTGGAACTAGAAATAAAGTGAAATTCATTTATTCAACCAAGAAGCATCAAGATGCAGCTGTGCAGAGACGCATCCTGCCCTGAGAGTGAAGCGCAAGACCCCTGACCCACCCTGCCTGAGTCTAGAACTTGGCTTCACCACTCTCTCACTGTGTGACCTGGCATAAGTCATAACTTCTCTGTGCCCATTTTCTAATATGGAAACTTGGGAATAATCACAAAGACTGCTCCCTTGTGGGGTTATTGTGAGAAGTGAATAAGCTAACAATAGTGCCCTTGGTATTGAATATACACATACACACTGGTGGTTGCTACTGTTATTATTGCTGCTGGTGGAGGTCCTGTGCCGGGAGCTGGGGTAGAGTTAGGAGTGAACCTGCAAAGTCATTGGGGGTGGGGAGCAAGCAGCACCTCTCCACTGTGTCTGGCACAGAGGAACTTAGAACCCAGAGCAGCTCCTCCATCCTCCTGAAGAGGGTGGAGAGAATCCAGAGCCTGCTGCTTCCCTGGGGTGAGTCACTGAGAGACACCCAAGGAAGGTCTGCTCTCTGAGCCTCAGCCCTGTTCCCCATGAGTTTGGGGGGGGGAGGTGCCTGGGCAGCCATGGGCGGGGCCTAGTGCCACAGTGTGAGGACCACTGTAACCAGTGTTGAGTGGGCAGACGGTGCCCTTCCTGCCAGGCTGGTCTGTTGCAACCTGCAGCCTGGGGCTGGCAAACAGGGAGGCCCCCTGCTGTGCTCTGGATGTCCAATGTCCCCCAAAGACCCGCATGTCAAAGGCTTGGTCTTCAAGGGGGTGTTGCTGGGAAGAACTGTGGACCTGTAGGAAGTGGGGCCTTGTGGGGTCCTGAGGTCACAGAAGTTGTGCTCTTGAAGGGGATTTGGGGACCTCTACCTCTTCCTTCTCTTCTCTTTTGCTTCCTGGCCACAGGTGAGCAGCTTTGCTCTGCCACATGCTTCCACCATGATGTAGCACCTCACCACAGGCCCCAGAGCAATGTGCCACTTGACCATGGACTGGCACCTCCATAACTGTGAGCCTAAATAAGCATTTTCTCTTTGTAACTCAGGTATTTCGCAATATTTATTTATCTCTCCAGATGATTCTAATTTGCAAACAAGATTCAGAACCACTGGGTTGAGGGCAAGGGTTCCCAAGTCTTCCCTGCTTACTAGAGGGGCTCTAATTTAATCTGTCTACACATAGGATTTTGCAGAAGAAATCCTTCCAAGAAAGGGTCTGCAGTTAAATAAAATGACTTCAACCCCCGAAACTAGTGAGTCTTTCTGTCTCATTCCCTAGGAAATAGAAGCCAAGTCATGCATCTCTCAGAAAGGTAAGAGTCTTGTACAGATGACACAGAGGCAAAGCTGGGCAGAAGGAGGGACAGACAAAACACATAGTAAGCCCTGGGTATCCTGAGGGTCTTCAAGCTGTTTCCAAAAAGTTCAAAAGATCAACAGAAGAACTCAGTTCCTGGGCTTTGGGTGAGATTTCTAGTAGACTCAGAGTTGAAAAGCTTTTTGCCTAGTGAAGTTAGAAGCTCTGCTTAACAGCTACATGTGTCTTTGATTAATAAAAGATGGGAAATAAATTGATCATCTCTGAATATAGGCAGTGTGTTTGGAGGAGAGTGTCTTCTAGCTGGGGCGCAGGCGCCTGGAAGCTCTGGATGGTCAGAAGAAAGGCATCCCTGGGTGTGCCTACTGGCCACGCACACTGTGTGTGCCCATGGCAGGAGGGATGGCTCTGCTGCTTCTCCACACTGACATGTGGAAGTCATATCCAGAGTCAGGGTTCATGGCTCTTCAGCAACCTCTACATCATGGAGCCCCCCAGGGACCCAGGAGCAGAATTCCTTTCAAAATGGTGGGTTCTGGCTATAGCTGCTGCCTCCCCTGCCCTCCCCCCCAACCCCTATTCCTTTCCAGAGCCAGAGAGGAGAGGCAATGAGACCCAGGCTCTTCTCCCATCTGTCAGAGAGATCCTGTGAACACAGCAAAAGCCACCGGGCCATTGTGATGCCAGATGGACTCACAGCAAAGAGAATCACCTGGTTGGTAGGACGAGCCCAGGACCCAGTCCTAAATTCCCAGGAGACACACTCACACACACACTCCTGCACATGCAGGGCACCTACAGCACCATCCCTGAGCTACAGCTCAACCAGAGTTCCCAACACTGGCTACACATCAAAGTCAAATGGAAAACCAAACACTGATGCCCAACCCCCGACACCCAGACCAACTGCATCAAAATCTCTGGAGGTGAGATGCAGCCTCCGTTTTTCATTTATCTCCCCAGGTGATTTTAATTTGCAGACAAGAGTCAGAACCACTGGGTTGAGGGCAGTGGCTCCCAAACCTCCATGTGTGTGGTGTGTGTGTGTGTGTGTGTGTGTGTGTGTGTTTGTTTTCAAGAATCCACCTGGTAGGTTTGTTAAAAATAGAGACCATCAAGACTTTCCATCTCCACAGCTCTTAGAAATTAGTTCCTTTCTAATCAGTAGGACTTTGCATCCATTGGCAATACCTCAAATCTCAAAGAACAAAGCAACCCTTAACATCTCATCCCCTGAACAAATACTGTAATCTCTTTATGTATCATAACTGTTATACTGGAAAAAAATACTTTGCCTTCTCTCAGATGTAGTAATATGTTATCATTATCCTCTCTCCAACAGCCTTTTGGAGGTTTAATAACTTACAACTGCAAGGTCTATTTTCCTCATCTGAGCATCATCATGGTTTATCTTTCCTGCCGGCTCATCAAAGGCCCCTCTTCCCAATAGCAACTCATGGAGGGCTCTTGGCTATCTTCAGGTGCAGACCCAGAAGCCCTTGCAGGAGCTGGGCTGCAGTGG